CGCGCCTGCAGGGAGGCCGAACCGAAGCGGGAGCCAGACGGTCTTGCCAAGGTCCATGCGGAGCCCAGACAAGACGACATACTTTCTTTCTCGAGGCCTAGGTCACATGTTGGACGGCCGGCTGCCTATTTCAAGTGTAAGTTTCCTCACAGCCTCGACTGCTTCATCTAGAGCAATCGATTCCGCCGTGAAGGAAGAGACCGGATCGCTGATAAAAGTTCGCTGATAAAGATTTCTACTCTACTTTACTCTATTATACTCTACTCTACTCTACTCTACTCCGAGTCTGCTCTACTCAATTCAGCGCTGCTCTTCCCTGTCTCGGCTCTACTCTACCACTCGACTCTTCCCTACCCGACTCGACTCTCATATCATAGCACCCCGCGATAGCGGATAAGAGTGAGGGGGCGGCGGGGATGTCTGCAGTCTGCGAGGCTCTAACGAAGCCCGCCGCAGGCGATTCATTCTAAACCTATACGGCCACCCTGCGGGTGATAAGGAGGTTGGGGAGGGGGGGCAGCGATGGGCAACATTGGATAGCTCGCCGCAAGCCGGGGGGACACCAGCGGGACACTAGCGGGACACCGCGGGGCACCGTTTGCCGGGTGGAGAGACTTTTGGTCCGGCTGCGGCCCGGCCACAGGAGGATTTCGGGACACCAGCGGGACACCGCGGGCCACCGCTTGCCGGTGGAGAGACTTTTGATCCGGCCGCGGCCCAGCCACAGGAGGATTTCGTGACACCAGCGGGCCACCGTTTGCCGGTGGAGGGACTTTTGGTCTGGCCGCGGCCCAGCCACAGGAGAACTTCCCCTCGCCCGCCCACGCAACTTCGCCTCGCCCGCACGCACGCACGCACGGCACGCACGACACGAAACCGAACCCGAAATCGATGTCCCGGTAGGGGGGGGCCCCCGTTTCACGTCGGCCTCACCCCCCAACCTCTGACAAACTATACACTGGGCCCGCTGCAGGCTCCGCTTTTCACGGAAGCAATGAGGGTGGGTCGCGGGATGGACTCGCCTCTGGGTCGCGGGTGGGTCGCGGGCCGGGTCGCGGGTGGGTCGCGGGTGGATCGCGGGCGGGTCGCGGGCGGGTCGCGGGGGGGGGGGGTCGCGACGGGGTCGCGGGTGGGTCGCGGGGTGGGTCGTGGGTGGGTGGTGGGTGGGCCGCAGGCGGGTCGCGGGGTGGGTCGCAGGTGGGTCGCGGGCCAGGTCGTGGGGGGGACGACACCAAACGACAACAACGACGACAACGAACAACAACAACCGCAACCGCAACCGCAACCACAACCACAACCACAACCACAACCACAACCACAACCACAACCACAACCACAACCACAACCACAACCACAACAACAACAACAACCAACAACACAACAACAACAACAACACAACAACAACAACAACACAACAACAACAACAACAACAACAACAACAACAACAACAACAACAACAACAACAATCATTTTACCCGAACGCTCAGTGTTCTCACCAGTGCCAGGGTTTTCATGCGACGCGAGACAATACCCCCACTTCGTGGGGGGGCAGTTCAAGCTCTACCAAATATCCAAACGACTCTTCGCGACCACCCAAACCCAGCTTCCCGCCCTATGACGTTGGGACACTTCACTTCGTGGCGTGCGGACGACCGTGGCTACTACACTGGCGTGGGGTACACACCCACAGAACTTGGTCACTTATTCGGGGCGCGCGTGTGCCCAGCATCCTGCAATTGTGACATACAATACATGACACAGACAGACAGAGAGAGAGACAGAGAGCAGACAGAGAGAGAGACAGAGAGAGCGGAGTTGGTCACATTTTTGGGGCAAGTTCCTGAGATCGTCGTGTTTTTTGTTGGTCTTGCGCGCGCGAATGTCCACTTTACTTTTTTTTGCAAGGGAGTATTGAAATTTGATTATGTTAGAACAAGAAAAAGTAGCTCGCGCGAGCTCATGTAACATAAATGTTGAAAAACCATTGGTTTTGTGGGAGTCGGACAGCGCGCGCGGGATGAAATTTGGACATTTTTTTTTGAAAAACCATTGGGTTTTTGATGTTTTTATGTTGAAATCGTTACGAAACCTAAGGTTCTGGAAGGATTTCGTCTTGCGCGCGCGAATGTCCACTTTACCTTATTTTTTGCAAGGGATTATTGAAATTTGATTATGTTAGAACAAGAAAAAGTAGCTCGCGCGAGCTCATGTAACATAAATGTTGAAAAACCATTGGTTTTGTGGGAGTCGGACAGCGCGCGCGGGATGAAATTTGGACATTTTTTTTTGAAAAACCATTGGGTTTTTGATGTTTTTATGTTGAAATCGTTACGAAACCTAAGGTTCTGGAAGGATTTCGTCTTGCGCGCGCGAATGTCCACTTTACCTTATTTTTTGCAAGGGATTATTGAAATTTGATTATGTTAGAACAAGAAAAAGTAGCTCGCGCGAGCTCATGTAACATAAATGTTGAAAAACCATTGGTTTTGTGGGATTCGGACAGCGCGCGCGGAAGGACATTTTGACAATTTTTTCTTAAAAAACCATTGGGTTTTTGATGTTTTTATGTTAAAATCGTTACGAAACCTAAGGTTTTGGAAGGATTTCGTCTTGCGCGCACGAATGTCCACTTTACCTTATTTTTTGCAAGGGATTCTTGCAATTTGATCAAGTAAGAACAAGAATTTTCATTTTATAGTGTTTTTTGCAAGGGAAAACGGATTACAACAAAACAACCGGATCCGGACACAATCCACTTTTCTGAAGCTTTCGCTAGAAAATGAAGGAAATGAGGCTGCGGCCTAGGTTTTGGAGGGGGGTCGCGCACCAGGGGTCTCAACAATAATATTTCTTTAGAAGTAATAATATTCAACAACAACAATCACACCAACAACAACATCACCAACAACAACAAACACCATCACCAACACCAACACCATCACCAACACCACCAACAACAAACAACAAATCGCAAACAACCACAACAGCAACAACAAAAACAACAACAATAATCCGCATCGCGGAATCTCAGTTCAGCCACACACCCTGGGACAGTGAATGACCGTTCGGCCCCCGTCACTGTGATGATTTACACCTCCCTACTATACTCTACGCTGCTCTACTCCACTCTACCCTACCATCTCCCATCCTTGCCTACTGTATTCTGCTCGTCGTCTTCTTCGTCGTCGTCGTCGACGGCGTCGACGTCGCCGTCACGGTCGTCGTCGTCGTCGGCGGCGGCGGCGTCGGCGTCGGCGTCGTCGTCGTCGTTGTCGTCGTTGACGTCGTTGACGTCGTGCGTCGCGCGTCGTGTGTCGCGCGTCGTCGTCGTCGTCGTCGGCGTCGTCATTGTCGTCGTCGTCGGCGGCGGCGGCGTCGGCGTCGTCGTTGCGGAGGGGGGGGGGGGGGCGTTCTTAACCCCTCCAACCCCTCCCCACAATTTTCCCGGTTGGGGGGGGTATCTGGACTCCCCCGCTAATTTTCACGGGGGGGCGAGGTGGTTCTGGACTCCACCTAATAGTTTCTGTGGGGGGTCAGGGCACCGCCTGGTTTTGAAAGGGGGTGGGGGATTTGAACCCCCCCCTGGCAGCAGCGGCAAATAGCGCTGTTCCAAGGAAGCCAACCTCAAAAATGTCCCTTGCTTTCGAGTCAGGGTCGCATTCTCGCCTTACTGGCCTTCCGTCAGCTCAGGACGGCCCAAGAATCCTCGACCAAGGCCAACAGGACGGCCGAAGAGATCCCCACGAGGTTCCCAGGATGCCCCAAGAGGACCCCACGATGGCCCAAAGGGCATTAAGGACGGCTCGAAAACAGCCCACCAGGGCCACCAGTGGGACCAACAACTGCCTTGGAAGGCTGTTTGACGGCCCAAGACGGCCCCACGACGGCCGCAAGAGACCAACCATACGGCCAAGAGGGCCCCACGGCGGCCCAAGACAGCGCGACGACGGCGTAAAAGAGCCCCAAGACGGCCAACGAGGGCCCCAAGGAGGGACCCCCAGGACCGCCTCACTGGAGACCAGGCCAACCCCTCGACGGCCCAAACGAGTTCCCTGAGAGCTCAACTAGTGAAGACGAATGGTGTCACATGTGACGGCCTTCCTCTTCATCCTCCTCTTGCTCCTCCTGCTACTCCTCCTCCTCCATCATCAGCATCACCACCATCACCCCCTATCACCACCACCATGATCATCATGATCATCATGATCATCATGATCATAATGATGATCAGCATCATCATCATCATCATCATCATCATCATCATCATCATCATCATCATCATGATCATGATCATCATCATTATCACCATCATCATCATCAGCATCATCAGCATCAGCATCATCATCATCATCAACATCGTCATCATCACCACCATGCTCATCAGTATCATTGTCGTCGTCCTCATCATCATTATCCTCCTAAGTCTTCTCTCATCATTATCAGCAACAGCAGCAAACACAGCATCCGAATCATGCTCATCATCATCATCAGCAGCATCAGCACCAGCATCGGCACGAACATCATCATCATCACTATCATCATCATCATCATCATCATCATCATCATCATCATCATCATCATGCTCATGATCAACATCATCATTATCATGATCATCATCATCATCATCATCAACATCAATATCATCATCATCATCATCATTATCATCATCATCATCATCATCATCATCATCATCATCATCACCGTCATCAACATCCTCATCATCTTCAGCATCTCCATCACTACCACCGTCACCATCACCACCAACATCACCATCACAATCACCATCATCATCAGCATCATCATCAACAACAATGTCCTCATCCTCATCCTCATCCTCACCATCAACCTCACCATCATCATGATCCTCATCACAGCTCTCCCAAGCCTGAAGACACGACGTGTCACGCGTGACGGCCTCCAGTGCCCACTCAACTCGAACGGTCGCCACCCAAACTGCGGGGCTGGCACGGTGGCGGGACTTGTCGCAAACAGCTGGATAGACGACGACGTCGGTGAAATAAAGCATGGGCAACGTTGCCGTGACCAAACCGTAGACGACCACGTGGGCGGTGTGCTTCCGCTTGACCCGCGCGCGTTGAAGGGGCGTGCCGAAGGCGCTCTCCACGTAGTTGCCCAGCGTGCACAAGTAGCGGCACAGCACGCAGACCGTGAAGATGACAAGGTGCTCCTCCCATCTGCCGTCGTGCGGGCCGACCGACCAGAGCAACAGCCAGAGCACGGACGCCGCCCCGTGCAGCCACGTGGTAACAATAGCGAAGTGCTCGGCCCAAGATGTATGCCCATCCTTGGGGAGCGGGGATGTACCGACCCCGCTGCCCCCCGTAACACCCTCAAGTCGAGGAGCAGTCTGACACCGCGGCAACAGGGGAGTACCGGGCAAGCAAGCGGCGCGCGTGCCCTGCGTTTTGCGCGATCAGGTGGCGAGGAGGCTGGGGCCAGGCCTCCTCCTCCTCCTCCTCCTCCGAGGGAGGAGCGACGAAGGATGGCCCCACACGAAAAGGAAGGGCTTCGAGGCTCAGGGGAGCGAGGGGCCGGGGCCCGGGGAGGGGGTGGTGCGAACGACGACCTCCCCGCGAGCAAGCGGCGCGCGTGCCCTGCCCTCGCTCTTGGCATCTGCAGCCTCGGGGATCTTCTGACCCGGGTCAGTCCAGACCCGGGTCAGCAGGAAACCAAAAACTGCGATGCAGGACAAAAAAACTGCAACGCAGGTCTTCGCAAACCCGGGTCAGCCAATGTGTGCGGCCGCCTCGCGGCCACGAGCGGCTCCCTAACCCGGGTCAGCCAGAGGGGGTCTTCGCAGGATCCTGCAGGATCTGGCGCCCTGGCTGACCCCCGTTTGCATTGACCCCCGTCTCAAGGCTCCCGATAGCCGGGGGCAAGGGGGACGCCGGGCGAGGGGGGACGACCGACGACCAAGATGAAGAGAAAGGCCTCCGAGCTCTCCCCGCTCTCGCCATCGCTCGGACGTCCATTTCCTGTGTTTTTCCGGTTTCGTGCGTGGTTGTTTCGCCAAATGATCAAGGATGCTCCTCGATGGCCCTCGCCGAAGGAAAAATGCACACGTCCGAGCGATGCCAAGCGCTTGTCGGGGGTGGAGAGGCGTGTGAGTTGTTTGGCCGTCCCCTCCCGTGAGTTCCAAAATGCCTTTTGAGGGGGAGGGGGGTAGGACGACGAACTCGCCAGCGCGCCCACGGGGCCTCCGGAGTCTCCAAAGAGCCCCAAACAGGCCCCAGAGAGACAAGACAGAGCGCCGAGACAGTCCAAGGGAGCATCGAGACGGCGCAGGGTAATTAGCCCCATGAGATGGGCCACGAGGAGTCCAAGGCGGCCCAAGACTGCTTCAAGAGGACCACCGAGAGAGCCCCACGAAGAAACAATCGTCCCACTCCTTTGGAAATCTCCACTTTGACATACTCGCCAGTTTCGTCTTCACACACTCCACGACCCAAAGGGTGCCCAAGCCCTGCGGGAGGGGGGGGGACAAGGCCAGGGGAGGCCAGGACTGCCACCCAAGATTGGACGGACAAAAAAGAGTCTGAGCTCCAGAACACAACCGTGCAAGAGAATAAAGGGCTCCGGGGCCAAGGGGAGCGAGGTGGTTGGGGCCACGGGTAGGCCATGGGGAGAGGGAACGAGCGGCGACCATCACGAGCAGAGCACAGGGAACTCTGAGCTCTAGAGCACACTGCCGTGAGGGAGCGAGGGAGCTGGGGCGTGGGCCAGGCGCAGGCCGGGGGAGGAGCGAGGGGGCGGGGGGCCTAGGCCACGGGGGCGGAGACGACCACCGACCACCACGAAATTAAAGGGCTCCGAGCTCGAGAGCAAAACCGTGCGAGCTACCGCAAGAGAACAGAAAGCTCCGTGACCCGAAGGGGTGAGGCCAGGAAGGGTCGGCGCGGGCGTCGCGGCCCGGAGGAGGGCTGCCAAGGAGGCGAGAGAGGGGAGGACAAACCGCGACCATGAGGAAACTCAAACGTTCCTGAAGGGGCCCTGGGACACACAAATAAACAAGCACAAATCAAAATATTCCCCTTACTTCCCCATATTTTCTGGGTCTCTCTCTTCCCCCCCACTTCCCATATTTTCCTATATTTTCCTGGGAGTGGACGATTAGTTGTGTCTGTGTGTTTCTTTCCCTCCTGAGTTACGCGGCTCAGGCGCAAAAAGAATGGCTCCGCGGCCCGGTTGAGGCCAGGAAAGAGCTGCAGGCGGACGCCGCGGCACGGAGAGAGGGGAGGCCACGGAGGGCGGGGAGAGAACGCACCACGACCGCGACGAGAAGGAGGGCCAGCGGGGGCGAGGGGCCCGGGGCTGAGTGCCGAGAGCACGCCGAGAGAACGGGGACGAGCCTCGGCCACCACGAAGAGAAAGGGCTCCGGGGTCCGTTGAATGGGGGGGGCCTCGGCCGGGGGCGGGCCAGGGAAGGGGGCCAGGGGGAGGGGCAGGTGCCGCGGCCAAAAAGCAGGGAGGCCAGGACGGATCATGGTCACGACGAAAACAAGAGGCTCCGCGGCCAAGAGCCCCTGGAAGGGAAGGCCATATTGACCGGGGCTGGGTCCCGCGGCCAGGAGGAGGAGGAGGAGGACGAACCGAGGGTGGCGAGGCCATGGAGGCTAGGAGTGGATCGCCGCGCGGCCCCGAGAGGGGATGCCGCGGGGGGGCGCCAACCACGACCACGACGGAAACGAGAGGCTCCGTGGCCCAGGGGGGGAGGGGAGGGGAGGCCACGAAGGCCAGGGGAGGCCCGTGGGGGGGGCGAGCCACGACCACGAAGAGAACACGGGGCTCCGCGGGCCAAGGGGGCGAGGCCAGGAAGGCCAGGGGGGGAGGGGGGGGCGCAGAGAGGCCATGCATAGGTTCCGCGGCCCAGAGGGGAGGATGCCAGAGGGAGGCCACGAAGGGGAGGAAGAACCACGACCGCTACGAGCATAACGAGTTCCGAGCTCTCGAACACTGCTGCGCCAGGGACAGAACGCACAAGCATAATTTTTGAAGGTCTGTGCGGAGTTCTGGGGACCGCGCCGAGCCCTCCTCCCCCTACACACACCACAGGGCGCGCCAGGGGCGGCGCCAAAGATGCCGCCAGAGGGGGGTCCAGCGCCGATCCAAGAAATCCGCGCAGACGACTGCAAGTCCATATAAGTAGCTGCGCCGGTTGCGTAATCGAGCATCCAGCTCCGGGAGACTCTCCATGGGGGGGGATCCCATGGGATCCCCCCCCTGGGATCCTATCCCCCCATGGGATCCCCCCCCATGAAGAGTCTCCCGACAGCGGCAGCCACGAGGGCCCCCACGGTGCCCCCGGAGCGGCCGAACTGGAGGCAGGGGGCATCGGCAAGCTGCTCTCCCCGGTTCGCTCAAGATCGGTCACCGAGCCGTTGCACCCCCCAGCTCGATGTGTCACAGTCCCAGTTGCCGGGAACGGGCTCCGGACGACGAAACCAACGCAGCCTCGATTCTCGAACATCGCCCTCGATGGAAGGACGTCGGTATCTGTATCTGGGTAGTCGAAGCCAATCTGGCGCCAATCTGGCGGGTCCAATCTGGCTGGCGAGAGACAATCTGGCGCCAATCTGGCAATCTGGTAAACGGCCCCAACATAATATGTATATATATATGTATCATTTGAGGAGCAATCTGGCATGCGGCCCAACCTGGCAGATGCTGAAACAAAGATTTTGGCGCATCCCTTTGGGGGGGAAGCACCCGTATACAGTATGCAGTTCTCCCTTGGCGTCCATGTCGAGCAGGCGGGTGCGCATCGACTCGAGCCCCGCGTACCTCGCCGGAGGTCCCGCAGGGGTCTCCGCGGAGGCCCCCAGCGCTCCCCGCCGCCGCTGCCGCTGCCGCCGCCGCCGCCGTCGTCGAAGTCGCCGCCGTCGTCGGGGCCCTCAGCCCCTCGCAGAGACTCACGCCCAGGCTTACATATTCCGGGCGGCTTCAACAACACATTCAAAGAAACACAACAAAACCGTGTTTTCGATCGTTAGATGGGCAATCAGGCGTAAACACTGCCCCTGCAGGCCAGATGTTTGAAACACCAGTGGGGGATCAGCATAAGAGAAGAGAAGAAAAGCGAAGGCAGAGGAACAGAGATGCCCTCAGCGGCCCTCAAAGAGCCCCAAACGCTACCACCCCCACTTCCCAACAAAATTAATGTCACTCGATCGACGCACCGTAGCGAGAGGTGCACGTCTAGGCCCGCGCAGCACACGGCGATGTACGAGGCGGGCGGGAAATCCCAGCCGAAACACGGGTTGTAGTGGCCAACTGCCATCCGGGCGGGGTGGTCCACGACCTTGGGCACGAGGGGACGGGGACGTCGTCGTCGTCGCCGCCGCCGCCGCCAGGGCCGCCGCCGCCGTGGCTTCTTGGGTTTCCGAGAGTTCCTGGAGGCAAGTGCGTATCGCCACGGCTGGGCGCAACTCGAAAAAAGCTGCCTGGGATGGATCCCTGGGGGGTCCGCGGATCGATCTCGAGTGGATGTGAGAGGATCGCCATGAGGAGAGGGCTACCAAGGAAAACTGTCCTGGACATCTTGCCCCCTCCCTTGTGCATCGTTTAACCGATTCCCCACCCCCACTGGCATGGCCTTGCACCCACTGGCCCAACTTACCTCCCTAGGTGGAGATATCTGCTACTCCCTTCGGGATTCGCGGGACCTGTCCCCACCTGTCGGGTTTCGCGGGACTTGTCCCCACCTGGAGAGGCGGGCATGTGGGGCTGCGATGCCATGGTCCGATGGGTATGGGGATCAGTAAGTCGATGCCGATCCCTGGGACCAGCTTCATCTTGAGAGTCGCGTTGTGGAGGCTCCCGGGGCACGTGAAGGGGCCCAGGGGTGCCGAGAACGTCGAGAACCCCAGGACACACCCATCCTCACGATTCTTGGAGAGACCTGGCGGTGGTCGTAAAACAGCGTGATAGTCCAGCAGACGATGAGCGTGAGTACGCTGAGCTCGTTGGACGCGGAGAAGTACTGCTTCGGCTTGATGACCTCCAATGCCACCGGCGTGGTTGCGACCTGGTAGAGCTCGAACCACTCCTGGATGTACACGTTCGGAGCTCCGCGCGAATGTCTTGGATCTGCGTTGGGTCCCCTCCCTGGCGCGCGGAGCGCGCCAAAGGAAACGCCTGAGGCGCCGCCAGGGGGGCCCAGCGCCGATCTGAGAAATCCGCACGGAACGCCGAACATGTATGCTTGTGCGATCGTTTCTTCTCCGAAATCCAGCACGCCCGTGACCATGTCGCACCTGGGGTAACCAAAGGTACTGATACCGCTACCCCCGACCTCTCCTGGGACAGGCTCATGTGTGGAACGCAGGGATACACACACGCGGGGAATTTCACGTGCAGACAACGGCACATCGCTGCATGATAAAAAAAACGCTGATACTTGGTGTCGTTTCTGCGTTCCCCGGACCTCTCCGGGGGTGCGTTCTGACTAGGATTTCGAAGCGAATCTAGCCGTGGCGACGAGGGCCTCCCAGGACCCCCTGACAAGCGAGAATGCGAGACTTACTCCCCGACAGTGCTTGGACTTCGGGTCTCGTGCTTCTTTTCTGCTGGATTTGTCTGGCGGTCTGCAGCTATGTTGGCGCTGTCGCCGCCCCATCGCCGCCCGTCGTCTGGGCCTGTCTGGCGGTCTGGCGACTATGTTGTCGCCGTCGCCTTCCCGTCGCCGCTTCGTCGCCGCCCGTGGTCTGGGCCCGTCCGGCAGTCTTGCGGCGTTGCTGCCGCCGTCGCCGCCCCGTCGCTGCCTCGTCGCCGCCCGTCGTCCATCCACCCCCCCTGGGGACGTGCCACTTATTCACGATTCTGCCCCCTCCCTCACTTTCCACAAGAATTCATACCATCACATGCAGGCCGGCAATTCCCCTGCTTCATTCGCTGCAGATAGTTCGATACCCAAATCAGGCATTTGCAGCAATCACGTACGCGTGGTCGCGCGCGTGAGGGTGTCCAAATCGAATGTCCCGGAAAATATAGTTGTCAAGAGAATCGGTGCGCGCTTTTGCGAACTCTTACAAAACAAGGCATACGTTTTTCAACCTTTGCATCACGTGCAGCCCAACGGGCCTCTCACGCGCGCATGTCGAAACCATTCGAACGCCAATGCGCGCGTGCTGGAGGTGGGGGCGCGATCCCTGTCAAACGACGCCATGCGAACCACCCACGCCCGTCGGCCGCGCGCCCGTGTCAAAATCCCCCTGCCATTTTCGCAGCCGACAAGAGAACACCATCATCAACATTGGCGCCGTCTTTGGCCTTACCGTCGTCATCGTCATACAGTCGGGGCCCTGAAGAAAGAACCCTTTTCGTTGGGGAGGGGCTCCGTGTTCCTTAAGTATTTCACAGCTTGCCTCAGGTTTCCCGTATGTTTTCGATACGAAATCGAAGCTTAACTTATGGAACATGGGGGCCTCGTTCCTTATGTAGGGTTCCTTAGGTCAACGCCTCGACTGTATTCGTGACCCGCATCGTTACTGTCATTACCGTGGTTGCCGCTGTCGACGTCGCTGTGGCACCCTGCCCGATCGCGTCGCCCACTCGGACTGCATATGCCCGCGCAGCGGCGCGGCCTGCGAGAAGCGCTGGGAACTCCCCAGCGCTCAGCTCCTCCTCCTCCTCCTCCTCCTCCTCGCTCTGTGCGCGAGCCTGCGCGCGCTATTGCGCGGCCGAGCGGTGTACCAGCCAGCGCCAGGCAGTCGTCGCACTCGCCACCGCACAAGTTGGGCAAACCCAGCTGCGGGGTGGGTGGGTAGGATGCTTTCGCGAGCAGAGCTGGCAACTGCAGGTTTGGCAGGGCGACTTGCACCACGTAGATTGCATACCACGTACGGTGCAGTATCGATTACACAGCATAGCTTGCTCCACCTATGCATACGGTTTTATTCTCGGCCACCGAGGGCGCAACCTATGGCGCAACCGATCGACGACGGTTTGATTATCGGCCGCTGAGGGCGCAATATGTGACTCGACCGATAGGAGACGGTTTGACTCTCGGCCGCCGAGGGCGTGACCTATGGCGTAACCAATGACACTTTTTTGCTCGGCCGCCGAAGGCGCAACCTGTGGCGCAACCGACAAGATACAGTTTTACCATCGGCCGCAGAGGGCGCAACAGATGGCGCAAACGACAGGACACGGTTGTATTCTCGGCCGCCGCCAGCGCAACCGATGGCGCTACGGTTTCATACTCGGCCGACGAGGGCGCAACCTATGGCGCAACCGATAGGAGACGGTTTTCTTTATCGGCCGCCGAGGGCGCAACAGATGGCGCAACCGATAGGAGACGGTATTATTCTCGGCCGCCGAGGGCGCAACCTATGGCGCAACCGATAGGAGACGGTTTTCTTCTCGGCCGCCCAGGGCGAAACCTGTGGCGCAACTGATCGGAGACGCTTTGACTATCGGCCACCAATGACGCAACCTATCGCGCAAAGGACGGAAGACGTTTTGATTCTCGGCCGCCGAGGGCGCAACCTATGCCGCAACCGATGGGAGACGGTTGTAATTTGGGCCGCCAAGGGCGCAACCTATGGCGCAACCTCTGGCGCAACCTAGGTGCCAGGAGAAGGAGGATGAGCAGGAAGAGGAAGAGGAGAAACGAGGACGAGGTCTTAGACGAGGACGACGACGAGGAGCTGGAGAAGGAGGAAGACGAGGATGATGAGGATGACGTCGGCGACGACGACAATCAGGATGGGGAGGAGGACTTGGAGGAATACGAGGAGTACGAGGACGAAGTGTGGGCATTCGAATGCGTGCGGAGCGAAGCCCGATTTATGCTCGCCGTTTAGGCTAGCGGTGGGGCCCAAGGGGCAAGCTCTCTGGTGACTTACATAGTGTAGAGCACCTACTGCGCCACAAAAAGTGCACTACAGATGTTGTACCAACTATAGATCACAACGCCTAGTGCACCACACCTGTTGCACAACCTAGATTACAACACATAGATTGATTGCACAACATAGGTTGCTAGACCACACACGGTTTGGGGTCCACGCTGGCTGACATACATATCCATAATGTCTGATAGTTCTGGGTGGATGAACAAAGACGTTCATGGGGGAAACAAAAAAACACTCACATGGAAAACACACACACAAAAACAACCACACAACGAAACTCGCATGGGAAACGCATATGCTGAATGGGGGAAACACAGGAACTCACGTGGAAAGCACGAAGGCACGCTCATGTGTAAAACGCACGGGCGCATGTACTCATGGAATTTCACGTGCAGCAAACAGCACCTCGCTGTATGATCAGTAACATCTGCTGATACCTGTTGTTTTTGCGTGCCCCGGACGTCTCTGGGTTTACGCTCTGACTAGAACTTCGAAGCGAATCCAGCCGTGGCGACGAGGGCCTCCCAGGAGCCCCAGAAAAGCACAAACGAGGGAAAGTCGAAGATTTTGGTACCTTCTTGTTTGGACGCCCGAAATGGGTACGGGAAAAATTGGCAGGATGGCCAACAACATTTGTGGTCCAAAACCGACAGTGGCCGCTGCTGGGCAGGCGGCCTTCTGCCTCGAATGGACAAAACGTCCTCGGCGACACCGACAGCGAGTCCTGCTCACAATGAACAAGCGATGCTGTCGGCCGTCGTGCGCAATATCGACGTCCCCGTGTCGACCGCACTCCTGAAGTCGGAGATGCTCTGACCCGGGTCAATCCAGACCCGGGTCAGACGGGCCTTGCAAGATCTGGCAAAATCCTACAGGGTCATGCAAAATCAAACCCTGGGCAAATCCTGCAGGATCCGGAAAGATCTGGCGCTCTGGCTGACCCCCGTCTGCATTGACCCCCGTGTCTTGAGCCCCGAGTGAGCCCGTTAGGTCGGGCATGTTCTCCTTCAGGCGGGTTGTGGAAGAAGAACTCTAAAAAAGAATCCGAAAATCCTCAGAAACATAGCCATCAGAGCACGACGACTCGTCCCCAGACGAATCTCTACCGTTCTGGTATCTTCCTCCTGTCGAGGGACACGCCCGACTTGCTCGTACCGCTCTCCCTCCCGCGGGTCGGGGATCTTCTGACCCGGGTCAATCCAGACCCGGGTGAGCAGGAAACCAAAAACTGCAATGCAGGAAAAAAATGTATGCAACGCAAAGCCTCGCAAACCCGGGCCAGCCCATGGGCGCGGCCGCCTCGCGGCCACGAGCGGCTCGCTGACCCGGGTCAGCCAGGGGGTCTTCGCAGGATCCTGCAGGACCTGGCGCCCTGGCTGACCCCCGTCTGCATTGACCCCCGTCTCTTAGGCCCCGAGCGGGCACCAGCCCCGCGCCGCCGGCCTGCCCTTGGCCTCGCCGTCCCCCGGCGCCACGCGGCGGGCGGCCATCTCGCGGCCACCGGCCGACGCGGGCCGGGGCAGCTGCCCCCACCTATGGGAGCGCGGGCCGGCCGGGCGGCTCGGCGGCCTCTGTGGGGCCTCAGTGGCGGCGGGGGGAGGAGCGGAGAACAACCATAGGGAGGCAGGACCCTGGCCATCGCTCGGACGTCCATTCCCTGTACTTTTTTTTCGGCTTCGTGCGTGGTTTTTGTCGCCAAAAGATCAAGGATGCTCCTCGAGGGTCCTCGCCCAAGGAGAAAAGCACACGTCCGAGCGATGCCGAGCTGGGGCCTCGGCGGCGGGGGGAGGAGCGGAGGACAGCCAGAGGGAGGCAGGACCCGGAGCGCCCGGCGCTGCAGCTTTGTCACAGCGGGCGCTTCCGCCCCCTTGCGGGCCACGCGGGGCCCTCACGGGTCGATCCGGCTCGAGAAGTGATGCATACTACCAGCCTCGAACGTATCCCTATCCCTAAGATTGACATGCCAAAAGGCGATGGCAATCTTAGGGATTCGCCCTCAAAAAATAAGGGAATCCCTAAGATTGGCATCGTGATGAGGAGGTGCCCAGCATAGGGATAGGGATAGGGATATGTTCCAGGCTGGTACCCATAGGGAGGCAGGACCCGGAGCGCCCGGCGCTGCAGTCTTGTCACAGCGGGCGCTTCCGCCCCCTTGCGGGCCGGGCCCTCACGGGTCGAGCCGGCTCGAGAAGTGTGCTGCAGGCAGATGGGGTCTGGGGGGGGTCTGGTCGTGATTTCTGTGGCGATGCTGTCTTTGCTCTGGGTTGCGTCGGATCTCAAGGGAGGAAGGGAAGGATCACGGGGGCAGGCTGCCCCTGCTTGGGTTAAGTCGGACCTGTCCCTCTGCAAGGGATTTCGACGAAAACAAAAAAGAAAAAAATAATCGAAAAATAGTCTGGGGACTATTTTTTCACATTTGTTTTACCTTTTGGGGGTATTTTGGGTTTTTTTTCCGTCGAAAATCTCCTTGTAGGGGGACACGCCCGACAGAAGCTTGGGTCGTGGCCAAACCACACCGGGAGATGTTTCTGGCCGCTTTCGGCCTCGGTGGGCCCTCGCCAGGCCCAGGCGGACCAGAAAACGCCTCGGGCTGGGCAACGGGCCATGGGAAGAGGGTCGAGACTTCCAGGGACCCCGCACTCAAAAGAAAAATATGACGTTGCGACTGTCTGGGTGCAGGAGCGAGGAGCAGGGAGAGAGAAGGGAGCGCGCAAAAATGAAGGAGCGAGGAGAATCAGGGGAAAGAAGAATGCCATACACACAAAAACTTGGAGGTCCGCGCGGGTTTCTCGGATCGGCGCTGGACCTCCCTCCCTGGCGCGCGGAGCGCGCCGGGGGCGGCGCCAGGGGGGTCTAGCGCGGATCCGAGAAATCCGCGCGCGCGGACCTCAATTTTTATGCTTGTGTCATTCTTCGTTCCCCGAGAGCTGAGCAGGGACCGACCGTCCCGGCATTCCTATAGGCCTACCGCGAGATGTTCTTCGAACCCTGAACTGTTCGAGGAGCGAAAACCATGGTTTTAGAATCTCAACCCGATGTGTTCAAACAAGACAGTCACAGCCAGAAATGTTCTGAGAACATATCGTGCAGACTACCAAAGGTTCTCAGAACATTCTTTGGTAGGCCTATAGGCACGCCGGGACGCTTCGCCACTGCTTGACTGGAGGAGGAACGTGAACGAGGTGAGCGAATCAGAGCAGCATCTGAGACATGCCCTCGATAGCGAATCCGCACCTTCCTGTGCAGGTTGGGGCTATCGGGCCCCTGTCGGCGATCCATGGGCGATTGGGTGTCGATGCATCCCCCCCTATGCCATCACCCCCTATCGTTGCCCCCGACGGACCCTAGTGGGGAAGCCAAAGGTACCGATACCGCTATTCCCCGGGCATCTCCCGGAGTGCGTTCTGACCAAAATTTCGAGGCGAATCCAGCGGTGGCGACGAGGGCTTCCGAGGCAACCGAAAAAGGTGAAAACGGGCGAGGGGTAGAGGTATGGGTACCTCTTCATCCTCTGAAGAGGAGGTAATAACTAGGTAGGATTAACTCGGGCGTGTCCCTCTACAGGAGGATTATCTTGAAATAGTCAAAAAATAGTCTGGGGACGATGTTTTGATTATTGTTTGACTATGTTTGAGGATTCGTGGATTATTCTTTATTGTTGGACGACCCGACCTAAAATCAGGACGAGGAGGATGAGGCGAGGTGAGCGCATGACAGCCGCGTCTGCGTCGAGCTGCGCCGCTTCGGGCGGGTTTGGCCTCAAGCGCTTTCTGGCCAGCTGGAGTCCTGCTGCGACTCTGAGAGCTGGTGGCCGTCTTGGAAGCCGCCTTGGGCTCTCGTGGGCCAGTCTGGGGGCCCCCTTGGGACATCTCAGGGCACTCTGAGGCCCCGTCGCTCTCCCCCGACCCGTTTCCTTGTGAACCTGATCGGGCAAGAACGGTAAGCGCCGATGTTGTCCATTGGGCTCGTGAGGGTCATGGCGACGACGAGGCGGCGGATGACGAGGATGACAGCGTGGATGACGGGGAGGGCAGCGAGGGGAGCAGGAGGACAACGAGTGGGAAGGCAAGCGCGAGGACGAGGAGAAAGAGATGGAGGAGGACGAGTCAAGGAGGAACGGAGCGGAGGAGGAGGATGACCGAGCCTCAGGAGGGCGCGTGTACCCCGCCTCCCGCCGCGGGGGGCCTGGTCACCACCTGAGGTGCCAGGACCCCCCGACCGCGAACTCGACGCAGTCGAGCTCACACGTGGACGGACTTATCAATGCCGTCCATGTCCGCGGGAGGGGGAAGGGGCGAGGGCCCTGCACGCGAAGCGGCGAGGCCGCCAACCACCCCCCCCCGCTGCTCCTCCCGCGGCCGGCCGCCCCGGGCCTTGGACCATCGCCACGTGGACCACCGCGCGCTCGACGGCCACCAGCCGCTCCGGAGCCCCCGCCACGCGTGCCGTCGGACGAGGCCGCCAACTCCTCAAGCTCGACGGCCATTGCGACCAGCACGCTGTGGTCGAAGGGGGCCGTCTCGGGAGCGGGAGGCAGCCCAGCGCGCTCCCGCAGGCGGACGACGAGGTTCCTCAGCTGCCACACCTCGAGGTGGCCAAGCTTGCCCTTGCCGCCGCTCTCGCCG